AACGCAAGCAACATCGCCGGGCATCTACCCCCCTCGGCGACCCCCCCTCGACAGACGACCCAAAAACCTCTGCCCACGCAAGGTCACGCGGGAGGCGGCGCCGCGAACCCCATCCGAATGCCTGGCCTTGGTGAGCGCAGCAGTCATGGCCATGCGATAGGCCCGCCTTTTGCACGGCATGGCTCCCCTGGCGAGCTTCTGGGGCTTTTGGGGACGTCGATGACCGGCTTTCCTCCTAGGGGCCTGCGCGGGCAGGGCAGCTTCGCCCCCCCCCCCGCGCGCGCGCGGCGACGAGCTCAACCTGGATCTGAACACCCTCGCTCGAAGAATAAAACCTGCAGCTTCTTCGCCACCCTCGCGCTGGGGCGTGCGATGTAGGCATTGCTTGCCGAGCTTCAGACAGACCCGTGGAAACTTGCCGAAGGCAAACTTGCTCGCGCCGTGGGCGCGCTGGACAACGACGTCGACGCGCGCGTGCAAACTGGGCTGTCAGGGGACATCCGGCGCTTTCGTCGAGGGGCAGGGTGGCCATGTAAACCCGCGGCTCAAGCGCGAAGAAGCAGCGGGGGGAACCTGGCTCCACGGCGTCGGCTTTAAATACGATCGCGACGCAGACAATCATGCGTCTCGGATGTCCAAGACCAGCCTGCTTCTCTTGGGCCAAAGGAAACTCGACTTGGCAGCCTCTGCATCACGACGCAGCCTGAGATGAGCAACTTGAGGGCCGAGGAACCCGCCATCGCCGACCCTCAGGGCCCCGCAGCCTCACGTGTCCACTTGGACATGGCAACGTCTTAAGCGGCCCAAGTCCTGGCCATGGACCTGAAGGATGACAAGATCGGCGGGGATTTGCCAGGGCCAGCAGACGCTGGTCTCCAATTAAAAAGAATCAGCTAGACCTTGAATACCCAACCCTGCAAGGACACGCGAAACAAAAACACACTGGACATAGGATCAACTCCAGGGAAGCTGTCGGGCAAGCTGGACTTGCAGGCCTGAATTTTTAGAGCCAGTTGTTTCGCTGTGGTTCGACTTGACTGTGGCCCGCGCTCTCCTCCGGAGGCTCTCAGCGGAATCGAACGCGGCGGGCCCCCCCCCGCCCCCGGGCCCCCCCCCGCCACTCCGAGAGAGAGAGAGAGAGAGAGAGAGAGAGAGAGAGAGAAAAAAAAGAAGAAAAAAAGAAACAGAGAGAAAAGAGAGAGAGAAGAGGAAAGAGAGAGGAGAGAAACAACAAGAGATATATATTATATATAGAAAAGAAGAGAGAGAGAGAGAGAGAGAGAGAGAGAGAGAGAGAACACAAAAGAGAGAAAAAAGAAAGAAAAGTAAAGAAAAAAAGAGAGAGAAGAAGTGAAGATGAGATAGAGAGAGAAGAAAGAGAAAAAGAATAGAGAGAGAGGAAGAGAGAGAGAGAAAGAGAGAGAGAGAGAAAAAAAATAAAAAAAAAAAAATAAAAAAAAAAAAAGAGAGAGAAAAAGAGAGAAAGAAGAAGAGAGAGAGACGAGAGAGGAGAGAGAGAGAGAAAAAAAAAAAAAAAAATAAAAAAAAAAAAAAAAAAAAAAAAAAAAAAAAAAAAAAAAAAAAAAAAAAAAGCAGAGAGAGAGAGAGAGAGAAGAGAAGAGAGAGAGAGAGAGTGAGAAGAGAGAGAGAAAGTGGAGAGTGAAAGTAGAGAGAGAGAGAGAGAGGAGAGAGAGAGAGAGCGAGAGATGAGGAGAGTGAGAGAGAAGAAAAGAAGAATAAGATGAGGAGAAGCATGGAGAGAGGATAGAGGAGAGAGAGAAGGAGAGAAAGAGAGAGAGAAAAAAAAGAGAGAGAGAGAGAGAGAGAGAGAGAGAGAGAGAGAGAGAAGGAGAGAAGAGAAGAGAGAGAGAGGGAGAGAGAGAGAGAGAGAGAGAGAGAGAGAGAGAGAGAGAGAGAGAGAGAAAGAAAGAAAGAAAGAGAAAGAGAGAGAAAAGAGAGAGCAAGAGAGAGCAAGAGAGAGAAAGAGAAAGAAAGATATGGGCTGGGGCTGCTACTTCGGCACCGCCGGTCGGCCCACTCCGCGAAACCCTGGCCGGCCCTGGGCGCCGCCTGGGGACCCAGCCGGAACGCGCGTGAATCTGGGAAGTGCCGAGGCGGCGCCGCACTCGGCCGCTGCGCTGCCAGCGTTTCCCACGGGCGATCGCGGCACTCGCGGGGCGTGGCGATGCGCGATGCAAGGGCGTCGGTGCTCCGGGGATTTCTGAAAGGCCCTCTTGGGCGCCTGGTCCGCATCTCGGCCCGAGGGGCCATCGCCCTCGCGCGCTCCAGGATTTGCTCCGCGCCAAGTCCCACCCCCGACCAAAGTTGGTTGGACAAGTACTTCCGTGGCAGTGTCGGCTTGACATTGGCCCTGGGCATCTCCTTGATAGCTGGCGCCGGCTTGCCCCCCCCCCGCACCCTCCAGACCCTCGTGGCCATTGGAGCTTCTTGGACCAGGCTCCTGGAGCGCTTCCTATTCGGGTCCTTCTGCGCGTTGAGCGCGGGGGGGTTCTGGGTGCTGGCCCTTATAGGCGGCGCCCACATAGTCGCATTCTGTAGCTTGACTTGGCGGCCCATCTTGACGCCGACGTGCGTTTTGCCAGCGCCGAAGCAACCTTTGTCATCGACGACGCCATCAGCAATGGAAACCACCGCGTGGTTGATGTGCCTCTCCTGACCTGCTGCGCATGCGCAGTCGGCCCCATGAATTGCGAATCTGCCCCATTGCTGGCGAACTGCCTTGATGCCACCCCCCAAAGAAGCACCCCCCCCCCCCCCCCCCCCCCCCCCCCCCCCCCCGTCGCCTCCCCCCCCCCCCCCCCCCCGTCGCCATCCATTGCGTCTTGAGAGACTGCAGCAGCGTGCCAGCCAAGATGGGCGTCGAAACATTTATACAATCGATGCCAAACTCCTCTTAAGCATTTCCCAAGAGGGAGACCCAGCGCGCGCCCACTTTCAGCAGCGCCCCCGCAATCTCAGTCAAGCCGATGCCTGTCATCGTCGAATATGTCTCTCAGTCTGTCCTTAGTCTGTCCGGGCCTCAGATACATGTCTGATCTAGCCGCAAGATGTCTGAGCGTTTGACACGGAAAAGCCCCTCGCCCCAAAGTTCAATCCTCTGTTTCCCCGCCTTTGAAACTTCTGGCGAGGGTCGAGCGGAGAGAACGCTGGCCAATATCCAAACTACGTCCAAGCTTGCTCCACTCACGCGAAACATCCACGCAATCGCATGGAAGTGCATGCAAATCTGAATACACGGCCACGTCAAACAGACTTCCATTGGCCGGCGGGCCGGCGCCCACCCCGAAGAGCTTGGGTTATTGCCCTGCTGCGGGCGCAGGTCCACTCAAAGCTGGCGGTCCACCTTCCGATGACGAAGCTGCTGCTGGAACGGGAACTTCGTTGCCATCATTATGCTACTTTTTTCTGTCACTGATGCCTGTCCGCCACATTCTCTTCGAGATACGGAATATCTGCTGAGATGGTTCCGTCACATTCCTGCACTGCCTTCAGAAACATATGCTGCAAGGCTGCCAGGGCCTTCCGCCACCCGTTGTGATCACTGGGAGCGAATTCGACGCCTTCAAATTCTGAGCCGAAGAAGAGCCTCCAAACCGGCATTATCGCCAGAACCTGTTGGATGTCCAGAACCGCTACTTTGGGTTCAGGCTCGGATTGTATGACCGCTTCCCCTTGCTCGATGTCATCGCATTCTGATTCAGAGACCTCTTCTGGGGATTTGCGCAGCTCATGTCCGCACTAGTTCTACTCCTTCGTAGCTCCGATCCGGACCGACGCGGCCTTTTCCAAAACCTCCTCCTTTGAAAATCGAGCCGTGGCCTCCTGGAGCTCCTGTCCGGGATATTTGGGTTGGGCAAGCGCTGGCTTCTGTATGTTTGCCGCCAGACCTTCAACTGCATGCGTGGCCTCGTTCGGGAGGATTGCCTTTCCGACCAGCTGAGCTGCCAAGGCTTGCAGCTGCTGCACAAATCTGGGGCCACCATCAGCATGAGCACGACTCGGATTAAGAGACAAACCGGACGAAAACGTCTCACCATATTCTCTTCGACTTGAGTACGTCCGCGAAAAGTATCTTCCCAAATGCTTCACACTGAACCATTTCACGACTCTGCATGTTCTACCACCAACCATTGGGATGCCTGGAAGTCTGTCATCCAGTCTGCAATCTCTGCGATGGAAGGACTGGATCGACGTCGAAGGTCATGGGTACGCCACGGTCATGTGGTCTTGCGCCTCGTCCGCGACTGTCTTGTTAAGCCATGCTGCGCCATCAACAGCTTCTCAGCGAAATACCAGCTGTCGTAGCTTGGGCGGGCCAGCTGGATGGCTAAGCCAGGGGCGAGCCTGGCGAATGGATTGCTGCAAGCCGCGGATCAACGGCATCCTCGTGGTAGTTGGCAAAAACGCAACCGGAAAAGAGAGCAGCAGCAGGGCAGCACATGCAACCAACGAGCAGCGCAGGGCGACATAGGGCAGCAAAGGGCGGCACAAAGCAACAGATGGCGGTAGAGAGCACGGCAGAGGAAGCATACCCCCCACACGCACACAATCTATTCACGCTCAGGTTAGCCCACGCTCACAAACTCGAAGAAATTTTCAACACACTGCACTGCGCATGATTGTGGGGATCCCGGCGCCGAGCACATGGAAAGCAACCACCGTCCGCCCCACCTTTTTCTTCGGAGGACGACGAATTGAAACAACGGTTGCTCTCCCGCCAAGCCTAAATCCTTTCTCGGCCCCTCCAGAGACGCCGGTCTGACGCGTCAGATCGGGCGAAAAAAGAAATGGAGGGCCGCCGTCCAGGACATCTGAAGTGCTGATTTTCCAAATGTGGGGTTCCCAGAAGTCCCGACGCTTTCCCCTGGGCCGACTTTTCATCATCCCGAGCCGTGTTTTGTCGCGATTCCTTCGCGACGCGAGCCTGTCTGCAAGATGCCTCGACTGGCCCTCCTCCGATCTTCTGCGCCCGCACCGGCCTGCGCCGGCACCTCCATGACCGCGGACTCCGGTTCGCGGGCCGCCCGGGCCTGAGGGGGAACGCCACAGGGGGGGACCGGCTCAGGGGGGCGGGGGGGGAGCATCGACGACTCGGCGATGCACTGCCGACAGATCGGCGATCGGACCCCAGAAGCGAGTCCGCACGCTCCTGGGCGGAGGTGGGCAGGCAGGCCCCCATCGGCGACGACTGGGCCATTCGGGGTCGATGCATCCCCCCCCCCCTTGAGTCTACCCAACGACCGTTGGAGAGCATCCTGGGGCTGGCGAGCCGCTGAGAACCGACGAGAACGCTCGAAAACCTAAACTAGTCATCCGACGAATATCCCCTGGGGACGATGCACTCCTCCGAGAACGAATCCGAGCTTTCCTGGGCGAGGTGGGCGAGCGGGCCCCTGGGCGAGTGGGGCCGATGCGTCCCCCCCTGAGCCCTCGTAGGGAAACATGAACAAAACAATGCATAAGCACAATCTCTAGTTTTTCGGAGGTCCGGACGGATTCCTTCGATACGCGTCGTGCCCCCGGCGGAGCGCGCGTCTTGTGCTCAAAAATCCCCACCCACCCCCGACATTGCCCCTGAGGGCCTCCTTCTGCGGCTCGGCGTCCGCGCTCGGCATCTCTTCTGCGGGCTCCTCCTCGGCGGCGGGCGGCGCGCCGGCGGCTGGCGGAGCTTCGGCCAGCGGCGCGTTGTGGGAGGGCTGCGCCTCCCCAGCAGCCGCCGCCATCAGCTCCGCCTCTAGCTCCGCCTCCTGTCAAGATCTCCGACGATCTCGTTTTGGGGGGGGGGGAATTTTCGGACGTCGTCGTCGGCTCCAATCATGAACTTCCAGCTCGAATTGTCAAGTGGCAGCGAAATGACAAGCGAAACAAGCACTACACTGCTCTACGACACGACTCGCCACGTGGCATTGCATGCGGGGCGGAACACATATTAGTTATTAGTTCACCCTACTCGCCACGTGACACCGCCCGCCCGCGCGCCCGCCCGCCCGCGCGCGCCCGCTCGCGCGCGCCACGTGGCAACGCCGGGGGAGCGAAACAAATACTTACGCAGGACGAGAGATTTTCCTCTCGAGGTGAAAATGGCGATGAGGAGTTCGTGTAACAACGTCGGCGCCGCCGAACGGACGGCGACCGGACGACGAGCTGTTTGCAGCAACCCGTAGGAGAGAGATGTATTCATGCTGAGTGAGGCCAACCCGCGCGGATAGTTGATGGGAGTGCGCGAGACAGCGCAGGGCCTATGCTGGAAGATTGATAACCGAACCCCTTTCCCCCGTAAGAATACCTTAACACGGGCGGGTCGCGGGGTTCGCGGATCCGATTTTTTCCGGCTCCCCGTTTTCATAACTTTAAACGGAACAGAAATCGGATCCACCGTAAAAACAAAACCAGACACGGAAACAACAAAAACAGCAATCGGATCCGCGCGGACAGAAGCCGGATCCTCCGAGACACACACCAAAACCCAAATTGGGCCCGCGCGAACTTCATTTCATCCGACAGCGGTTTCCTCATACGCATATGCTCAAGACTTCAAGCCGTCGTTCAGGGCCCAAGAAACAACATATTTCGTCCTAGGAATGTATTCCCCTCTCCGTGCCACGTTGCAACGCCTGGAAGAAGGAACACATACTACACCACTGTACTCGCCGCGAAGCAGCGTCTGGGCACGTGGCAACGAAACGGTGCGGGAACACATGATGCTGTTCCTGTCTCGTTTTATATCGCTAATTCTCCCCCGTGCCTCCTGCCCACTCCCTACTCCCTCTCTCTCTCCACGTCCTCCTCCTCCTCCGTTTCCTTGTTCTCTTCCTCCTCCTCCTCCACCTCCTCCTGCTCCTCCCTCCTCCTCCTCCTCCTCCTCCTCCTCCTCCTCTTCCTCTTCCTCTCTTTCTCCTTGCTCCCTCCTCCCTCCTGTTTCCTCTCTCCCCCCCCCCTTCTCGTTCCCCCCTCTTCCCCCGTAGTCCAAATTTACGGCAACGCCCGCGGGGCAGAACATGGAAAACACCAGCTTTACCTGCCACGTGACAAAAACAATGGGAACGACATGCGCGCATATCTATGTATACAACTGTAGATGCTTACGCACATGTGTGTATGCACATGCATCTATACATCCATGCATACGTACATACATACATACATACAGGCTTGCAGACACACTTGTACAGACATGCGCAGTCACAGACACGTACATTGCAACTATATGCATATACATGTGTGTAACATATACACACGCACACCTACATTATACATAAGCATTTACGTACACACATAGTATGCATATGCATATACATATCGAAATGCACGTACGTACACATATTCATGTACCCATACATGTGCATGTACATGTACATGTACATGTACACGTATATAAATACACATGTATACCTATATATACACAGTTGCAAATACATGATAAAGATGTGCATACGCATGCACATATACATATACCTATACATATACACATACATCTACATATACATATACATATACACACTGCAACGGTATGATCCTGCTACTCCGCTCCCTTCGCGGAGTGGCATTGCGTGCGGGGCGGATTCGGAAAACAATGTTACCACATTCAGATTGTCAAATGGACATGAATGGCAAGCGAAACGAACACTACTCCACGCCAAGACCGGCCACGTGGCAATGCTTGCGGGGCGGAACAAATAGTAGTTCACCTGATTCGCCACGTGACAAGGCCGGGGGGCGTGGGGAAACCAATGCCGCTCCAATCTCGCCGCCACGAACGAACTTTCGGAAAATGGAAGTAAGTATTACTCCAATGTGCCCGCCACGTACAGGCGCCTGCGGAGCGAACGCTCTCGCGCAAGCCGCTCGCCCGCCCACCCGCCCACCCGCCCGCCCCCGCGCGCCCGCCCGCCCGCGCGCCCGCCCGCTCGCGCGCGGGCGCGCCCGCTCGCGCGCGCCGCGTGGCAACGCCAAAGCGACGAAACACATGCTGCCCACTCGCCCTGCCATGTGGCAGCGCGCGGAGTGGGGAATTAATACTACTGCGCTGTATTCGACACGTGGCACCGCCTGCGGGCCGAAACAAAATTACCCCACTCAACTCGGCGCGTGGCACCGAGGCGGGCCGAGAACGCATGCTACTCCACTCTACCCGCCGCGAGGCAAACAGAAATACTGGGCCTCTCCAGTTGCAACGTGGCGAGGACATGGGAACAAACAGAAAGTACACCTCCGCTCTACTCATCGCATAGCAATGCCGCGTATATGCACATCTCACTCTACCCGCCACGCGGTAACGTCTGGGAGGCGAAAGCGAATATTCCCTTCGATTCGCTGTGTGACTACGCCACGGGGCGGGAACGCATGCACCGCCAGTCCATTCGCTACACGGCAGAGACGCGCTGGCGAACAGCGAGGAAGACCTCAACGCAGAAAGCGCAAAAGGAAGGCGCTGAGGTGCCCGATGAACAAAACAGAACCCGGTAAGCCCAAAACATCCACGCGTGAATATTTTACCGCCCTTCTGCCCTCTTCGTTGCCCTCGTAGGTGTCCTTCCTCAGTCTGCCTTGGCCTGCCTCCTCCAACAGCCTCCTCCAGCTGCGCCCTGATTCGTCCTACCTCGTAGTCCTTGCTGCCATCCCCTGCCCCTTCCCACTCCTCCGACCTCCTTCTGCCTCCTGCGACCTCTCGCACTCCCTGGAATTTTGGGCGTGGGCTTCCGGCGTTCTCGGGCTTCGCCCCCGTCGGGATGTCGAGCTTGGCCCTGCCCGTTTTCGGGTTTCGGGGGGACTTCCTGTTTCAATCTTCTTTCGCTCAGGGGACAGAGTCCGCAAAACTGAAGCGCCACTGCCCCTGGCGCGCCGCCGAACAGCCTGCGGCAAATAGCAGTTGGCTGGACGCATTCGCGCTCGAGCGGAAGCACAATCGGCTTCGGTCGAAATCAGAGGAGATCGTGAATCCTGATTCCTGCGAGCTGGCTGTCCTGAGTGCGATGGTCTCGTGCTGCGTGGAAGCGGCGAAATGGGCGCCGCGCCCTCGCGCCAAATGGCGGCGCGCGCCTGACCTGGACAGCGCTGCCGGGCGATCGGGCCGCAAACTTGTCGCCCCCCTATTCCTCCCTCCGTTTCTCCCCCACTCTCGGGGCTTGGGGGAAGGAAGGGGGCGCGAAGTTGCGGCCCTCTGGGCTAGCGCTTGGACCCGCAGGGGGGCGTCGATCGACGGCCCAACATGTGGCAGTGAAGACCGCCAGCGAATTTCAGCGAAAATTCACCCATACCCTGCACCTCAAATGTTCTGGTTCGGCACGCGTGCCGAACCTGTAATATCGAGGTTCGGCCGCCGACAGGACTTCCTCTGCGACGGCGAGGCGTGCGTCGTGCCTTGCTGCGTCTCCGCCGCCAACAGGTTCGTTCCTGCCGGTGGAGACCGCGGGGCGGGTGCGCGAACCAACCCCGAGCGCGATTATGGAGGCCACGCGGCAACGCGGGCGTGATGCCAGCCAGGCTGATCCCGCAAGCCGCTGCGGCATATCCGAAGCTGCTGGACGACGGCTGCGTACTCGCCATCGCGTCAAAGAGCGCGCTCACGGGAGAAAGGGGGAGGGCGGGCTTGCCGCCGGCGGAGAAGCCGTTTCGGAGAGGGCAGTGCTGGCCAGCGGGGACGAGAGAAGGCAGCGGCGATGGCCGTCGAGGGGGTGAGGGGCGGCGGGCGGCACGCCGCCAGGGAGGGGAGGACGGCGACGGCTACCGAGCGGGAGGGAAGGGGAGGGAGGGAGGGAAAGAGGGAAAGGGGATGCAGGGAACGGGGGGGAGTGGGCGAGGAAGGGAGGAGGATAGGGGGGACGGTAAGACTCATCGAGCGAGCAGGGCAATAGTGGGGCATCGAGAGGCCTGAAGGGCGGGGTACTAAACCGAGGGGCGTCGGTGCTGGGGGCGGCGCGGCGCGCGTGGATCTGCGACGCCTGTCCGGACATGTTTCGCGTCGTGCTTGTTTGTTTAAAAAATGCGTTATACATCGCAGAGCTCGCGCGCCAAAGGAAGTCTGCTTGGACACGGCCTGGGCGACCTATTCGACTTACGCACTAAGAAACGCAAGCGGGATGGATATGTCGATTCAAAACGGCTGTCGTATTCAATCGAGCACTTTGCACGCTGTGTCGGACGGTATGAACGGTGCTACGCTTTTGAAACCAGGTCTCACAATTCAAGTTGCATGTATGCCGTATGTGGTGCAGGTGGGCACACATGAGGCCAACGTACCTATA